GGGCACTTGACCTCTCTGGGCCTCCGGCTCCTCAGCAGCAGCCTCGAGGGGTGTGTCCAGGCCTTTTGGGGGGTGAGTGGGGTTTGGGAGATCCAGGTGCATGCTCTGAGGACCTTGGGGACAAGGACAGAACAGGCTCCCGTGTGCTTGGAACTGGGCCTCAAGTGGACCTTGTCAGGCACTGGCTTTGTGGGCTGAGTTAGGGGGGAAATAGTGTGAGCCCCTGTGGGGGGTGACACAGCGAGGCTGCCCGCCGGCTCTCAGCTGGGAATCTAGAAGCCTCTGGACATCCCGCCCCTACCCTGCCGGGAGCTTGGACTGGTGACTTCCCAAGGGAAGGAGGGCCCCTGGGGACAGTTGATAGTCCCTTGGTGTTAGAGCTGGCCGGGGCCCCAGGCCTCATCAGGTCCAGATGACCCTCTCTTACAGAGGAATAAATGGGTCCAGAGAGAGCCAGGCGTTTCTGCCTTAAATTCTCACCCTGTCTCCATTGCCTGCTGTAGGTGTGGCGGTGAGCCGGGGGCTGCAGAGAAGGGACGCCGTGTGCCAGAGCCGCCCTGGAACCTGCCGGGCAGGGCAGTGCTGTGGAGGGGTAGATGGTGTGGAGATTGTGGGGGGACTCAACCCCTGAGAAAGGAAGGTCAACAGGGCATTAGGGGAGGCGATTCGGAGAGAAAGAACCTTGAAACCCAGTTCTCAGCTGCTCTGAACCTGAGTCATGAGGCTTTCCATGCAAGGGGGTCCTTGGGGTGCGGGGCTCAGTTGGCCCCTACTATTTCCACCTGCCTGCCTCGGTCTCCCCACCCAAGCCCTGGGTTCATGCCAAGGTTGCTGTGCGTGTGCACCCTCTAGTGGTGGAACCGGGTTGCGTTTCAGGACTTGGAAACTGTCCTATGTCTTTGCAATGCGGTGCTGGACCCGGCCAGGAAGCAGGCACCCAGTACAGGAGACCAGCCTTTATTCGAGAGCTCGGCTTGGTAGGATTGGGTATGAAGGAGGCCTTGCTGTGGCCTCGGGAGACCTGCTTGCTCTGGGCTTGTTATCCAGCCGATGTGTGGCCCAGAGCGCAGGAAATGGCCTCTGGCCCTGACCGCCTATGTTCTGGCAAGCCCCTCCGCTCTGGGGGACAGAGGAGCGACATCTGGTCCCCAGGAAGCCTTAGGAAGCAGTGTCAGGGCAGGGGACCCAACACCTCAGGCCCGCTGATAAACCCAGCAGGTGGAACGAAAGGCAGACCCACAAAGTCATTAAGTCCATTCCGACTGCTAGCCACCCTGCAGGGCTGATGCAAACTGACCCGGAGGCTGCCCTTCCCAGGGGGTCGCTGAGCAGCAGAGTCCACTCCGTAGCAGGGGGTACATGTGTGGGTTTTGTTTCTTTGAATCTTAACCAAAACAGCTCCACCTTTCTCCTGCGGCGGGGCGGCTGGTGGGCTAGAACTCCTGGCCTGTGAGACCCCATTGGGAAGCCAGACCTTGGTGTGGGGGTTCCCTAGTACATTTTGATGGCCCAGATGTGCGGAGGCCAAGAAGAAGTGTAGCCCCCAGGATGGGGCCTGGGCATCATCCAAGCTGAGGCCCGGGCACGTGCCTGGGACACAGCTCTCCTCTCGGCCTGATCACCTGTATGTCATGTACCTTGAAACCCCAGGTTGGCCCTCAGCATCCTGAAGTGCCCGTGGGCCCCTGTGGGCCAGGATGACCCCTGTCTGTGGCTCCAGGGCTGTCTATGAAGAGCTACATCACCGGGCATGACTCTGGCCCTGGCCTGAAAGTTGAGCGAGGAGGATGGCGGCTGACAACCTCTCTGTGAGAAGAAGGGGGCCAGTGTGATGGGCCCAGTCAGGTGTGACATTGTTAGGTTCCCGAATGGTCACCTCGGTTCTTTGCTTCAAGGCGCAGAAAGAATTCCCACAGCAGAAGCACGTCTGTAATCCAAGTGAGCCTTTAGGAAGGAGAGGAGAAGTGCCAGGCTTTCAGTCTCCAAAGGACCCACACTCTTTCTGGAAAGCACGCCAGACCACGCGGGCCTGGACTTCTTGACTGGGTGCAGAGAATACAGCAACAGGGAGCGTGAAACCCCTACATGTGGAACTGGGGGACCCCCGGAGGCCAAGAGGGGGTGCAGGACCCCATAGGCTCCTACTTGTCTTCTGGCCCCCTGGCTGGGGGAGGCGTGGTTAAGGGCCTCGGCTGATCTTATTGGCTGTGTTTAAGCACCCTCGGGTGATGTCATGGGCCTAGGTTGTGGCTCGGTTTGGTTTCCCCTGTGTTTAGGGGGTCCTCGTCTGCACATGCCCTGTCCTGGATTTTCCCATAGGTGCCCAACTAGTGTGCCCCATCCCTGCAACCCCTCTGCTCTGGCCCCATGCAGGCATTGGGGACACAGCCTCCTGTGTCCCTAATCTAGTGAC